AATCTACAAAGCCTGCGGCACCTCGACTATGGTGGGCATGATATAGCCGGCTCTCTCAACGAGCTACTGACCGGTTGTCCCAACCTGGCCACTGTTCTCCGCCACGGTTCATGAAGATGCTGGTAGAGGGCAGGGCTGCGTACGATTACTCTGTCCGGCACTCGTCTGCAGAAGATGAAGATGGCTTTGAAAGGCGTGAATAGGCTTTGACTTCATACTGGCGGCCGCTCCCCTCGCGCTCAGACCTTGATAGAACATTACACAGTTCTCTCGGAGTGGGGTGAATGAACAGCCAATGACAATGCAGCAATTTTGACATCAAAATAGATCATTTTAACATTACAATAGGTAAAGCCATGTCGCGGAGCGGACACGGATAAAGAGTATAGACGGGTGTGAAGACGCTATGAATAAGAAAGAAACCGGTCACGTAAGGAGTATCAGTGGGCTGAAAGACATTACTGTCATCTCCACATGCATCAATCTATTTTAATCACTTGCACCTACTGTGAATGGCACTACTACCATCTCCACAGGCATCCATCTATTCTAATCACTTGCACCTACTATGAATGATACTACTACTGTCTCCACATGCAGCCCATCTATTCTAATCACTTGCACCTACTATGAATGGCACTACTACCATCTCCACAGGCATCCATCTATTCTAATCACTTGCACCTACTATGAATGACACTACTACCATCTCCACATGCAGCCATCTATTCTAATCACTTGCACCTACTATGAATGACACTACTACCGTCTCCACATGTAGCCATCTATTCTAATCACCTGAACCTAATATACTACAGCATTGTAAGCAAAAGCTATATATAACGAATACCAACCGACCGTGTGATGCCGAAACATATACACATCGGAACGGACCGACACAAGTACCATATACAGACACTCAAGGATGTGGGCCGGACATGCTAACTTGTTTGATTTATTCTCGGATGTTGCTATTAACCGGGTCATTCTCGGGATGTTTCGCATACCCAGTCATCTTATAACTAGACGACGCATACCTGCATGCTCTCTCCACTATCCCATGCCCCTATTTTCTAAGTATCTACATATTTATATCTCCATCAGCGCTTTGCTCCACATAATCTGAGGCAAACGAGTACGCATCATCTCCTCCGCCCAGGTTAGCGTCCATCAGAAGTGCCTGTGCTTTCACTTGGCGTAATCTCTGTTATGTGGCCAGGACGTTGGGACGTACGTGAGCCGTGCGTAGAGATACGATATCAAACGCACACGAGTATTTATGTTTATAAATACATATACGCACACAAATATATATATATATATATATATATATATATATGAGTGTGTCTTTCGTGTGTGCGTGTGTGTATGTATGTATGTGTGTGTGTGTATATATATATACATATGTATACATATATGTGTATAAATATGTATATATGCAAATGTATATATATATATGTGTGTGTGTGTGTGTGCTTATATAATACAAGCAAGTATGGCACATGCTGTCTGTGTGTACTTACCTCTTTCTTGGCATTCTTGGCAGCCTTCTTGAGGTCTCGGTTGGCCGTGGGATTGAGTGCTCTAGACTCCTCGTCAAGTGCTTCGGTCATCCGTTCGGACTGTTTGCCTTTAACCTTCTTTTCATGCGCCGCCATGTGGGCCTGTAGATGCGCAAGTCGAATGTGTAATAATTTGTTTTAGGAACAAATATATACATGTGTGTATGTTTTTGTGCGCGTGTGTGTGCGAGTTGTATATAGTGATACGCAACATGCTTTACATGCGAGTAGGTTGAGTGCGGTCGTTAAACACAGCCGATTGTACCTCTGCACGTCATTAAACAACATGCATACTAACTAACAGGTATTGGTCTCAGCAGTAATGAAGCTATCCTCATGGTAGATTTTCGGATACTATCTAAGCTTACAGGCATCATTGACCACGGCGGTGTTATCGCTGCCCATACAGCACTCGGACACAACTTGGCATCAAACAGGCTTCTATTTAAGCAGGCAGAAAAACTATCTCTAGAACATACATGGCGCACACCCGTTGAACGCGTTCTCGTGCGAATCCGTATCTATGGTTAAGGAACTTCAGAAGAAAACACAACACAGCCAGCAATACATGTCGCAGGATACGCTAGTTGCGTTGTATAGCCCACATGTATGGCATCGCCCGTTGCCTAGCAACGGAGGGTAGAAGACGGGTGTTCTTGGATTGGATCACTGCATTCAACAGGCGACCAACAGAACAGTTCCCATACAACAAAATAATAACCCTACAAACAGCACACTACAACAATAACAACCCCCACTATAACACACCCTGTGTCACCATACCTTAGTTAAGTCAAAGGGTGCAACCACCTGGTCGTCCTCCATTGCGACCACCTCCGTGACCTCGACATCCGCATCAGCCACCGCTTCATCGTCACTGTCTGAGTCATCCATCTCCATATCGCCTTGCTCTCCAGGAGCCTGTGGGTTGGTTGTGTTGAACATCGGTGCATGTGTTTAATTCAAAAGAATGACTGTGTGGACATGTGGTTGATTTGGAGGAGAGGAGCCCATGCGCGTGCATGTACATGGTCTGAATGTATGTGCATGAACATGGTATGGAGAACTGAATACACACTCGGGTGCAAGGTTGATTTGGAGGAACCAATGTGTGCACCAGCGTAGGCCAGCTCCGTTCGTTCATGCGAAGTTGAGACGTACTAGTTCACGTGTATGTGGTTGAGGCGTGTCACGACGAATCAGAAGGTAGGTAGTCAGTCAACTGTGCAGATACATAGTTTGAGTGCGTGTGCTGGATAAACAATTGCAGGTGTAAATAGCTTGCCTAGATCGACTTTGCAGCGGCAGCGGAATTTACACATACTCTGACGCACACGCACACGGACACCAGTGAATCGTAACCGTGCACTTGTACGTGCACCTACACATACATGTATGTATATATGCATATGCGTGTTTGACTTGCTTTCGTGCCGCCCACATACCAGGGTCATGTATGTCTTCTTCTCACTCGAGAGTCCGCTCAGAACGTTCTCCTCCTCCTCCTTCTCCAAAGCCGCCATATCGAACGCCTGGGAGAAGCCAGTAACAATGGTGGTAGTCTCACCCGCATGCTTCATATGCTCAGTCACCGGCGGCAGTGTGTAGAACGGAATGGCTCCGGTATTCCAATCCTTCAGCAGACTCTTTGCGGCTGCGTGGATGTTCGGTACACCCCCCTTCTTGAGCTTGCCGCGCTTGTTAGCAAACTGCACCAGGAAGTCCTGTGTGTCTGTGTACTCGGGCAGTTGGTACATCTCCATCACCTGCTCCTTGTTACATCGCGAGAGGATCATATCCACCGGCTCGGTGATGTCTGCGAGTGTGTCGACGTTGATCACGTTACGCAGCAACACATCTCCATCCAGGGTGCTAGAGAACACAATACCCGGCGAATCAATGAGCTTGATATTCTTATCCAGTTGGATCTCTTGCATAACCTTGGTAACGCCCGCGGTGGCACCGGCCGCGCACGTGCGTGAGCGCTTGAGCGAGTTGATGATCGAGCTCTTACCTACATTAGGGTACCCGACAATACCTACCGAGATAGATTTCTTCATGTTCACACTTCGCGCGTAGTTCTTCAGAAGCTGTATTGGAGTGAGGGTAGGCAATTGATCTGAAAATTCAGTCTCAGCGCGCATCTAGAACGTATTCTACAAGCCGTGGTTGAAGTATCTGTGTATAAATGCAGCGATACCCAGGTTGTGACTTGGTACCACTGTATAAATAAAAAACTCTGCTGGGTGAGTTCGCATATAATACCGAGCAGCCAGCCTTCAGGCAAGGTGTCATACATGGTAGAAGCAATCTTCACAGCAACATCTTCCGACAATCCTGTATACCCTGCCTGCCAGCTATACCTATTGCCAGTGCATTCAGAATATTCTCAACGTTTTGCCTCATATAGCGCATTCGGCCACGTCTCCTCCCACACAAACACCAAACACAAAGCAAACCGAGTCTGTCGTATGCCACTGTATATGTTGAGCTGTCTGGACCTCCGATGAGATGAAGGATACATCATGAATCGCGCGTACAATGCCAACACCAAAAACAGAAGCAGGTATGGCACAGTTGTCTCCAGACACAGTCAACTTAGAGACTTAAGTTCGTTCTTATGCGATATGGTGCGCATATATCACTGGTTATGGACTAAGGACTCCTAACAGGTAGTGCAAGGGCTTTGGCAACCCAAGTATATGTCTCTGAAGCCTAACCAGGTAGAGCATGGTGTGTCTAATACATAATACAAAGCTCTGCGCTGTGAAGCATAAGCCGTGTGTGGTGGAAGGTTCAACACAGCTATCGCAGACCGACTGCTATATAACGTGGTGCAACTAGCGTACAGAGGCACATTTACTGGGTGTCATAGTTTCTACATTCTTGTGCTGTGTGTGCGGACATGTTTAGGGCTGTGTACTCCATGTGCAATGTCGTTAATACGGAATATTGGGTGGTGCCTTCGGTAAAAGGGGTTAATAGCGAGACTTGTGTATATGCCGCGATATGTAATTCATGCTAGGAAGCCCCGACATTGTATCGATACTTGTCAATGAATAAGAACCATCCCAAGTACGCTTACCCACACACGCTGCATGTATAAGCGTAGGATTTGCGGAAGACTTTAGACGAGTGTCCAATAAATGCAATATACAGTTAACTGTATATATACGCTGGCTACAGATTGATGATCCATTGTATGTGCCACAGTTTGACTATCAATTCAGGTATAGCTGTAGTTAAATATATACATAAATATAATATGCGAAAGTCATACTGACATGATATACATATACATATATTTATAAGTAATTGCGTTGATGTAACTTGTACAACTATAACTTCTCGCGTAATTACATGTTGGCCTTCAAATACAGAAATGAAAGAATTGATATTGCAAACAACCTGAAAGTACACTACTTTAGCACGATAGTAGGCAAAGGTACAACACATAAAGTATGCGTGCTTGTGTGACTCTGCAATGAGATATATCACAGTTCATAAAAGCACTAATTTGCATATATATATATGTATAGGTATATATATATATATGTATAGGTATATATATATATGAATAAATATATATATATATATATATATATGTAATTTAAATATATATATATATACATGTATATATATATATATAGTAATATATAAATATAATATATATATCAACGTAGATATGTATCTACGTATGTATATACATGAAGATATAAATACATACACGTATAAGTATATCAAAATTTTATACAATTGTTTATATACAAATTTAGACTTGCACTCGCACTGATTTAAGTACATAGGCAAATACATATGCATATATTTACATATACACGCACATACATATACACATATACATCCGATACAATATATATATATATATATGTGTGTGTGTGTATGTGTGTCTGTATATGTTATACATACAAACATATATACAAACGTTTATATATACTTAGATCTTTACATACATATACATATATATACAGATGCATATATATGCATGTACATACACATACACACATATATATATATATATATATATATATATTCATATATATATACATTTGAGATAAGAACACTTACCTTTACGAGCGTATCGGTTCCCAGCGCCTCCTTTGCGTTCACCTGGTCTGCTGAAGCATTCTCAAACGTCGCTCTAGTAGACCCTAAATTATTGGCCTGGTCTTGTGTAGATGCCTTGAACGCAATAGTGGGGAAGTAATTCCGCAGGTACTTAAGCCATTGCGCGACTACATCCTTAGGCACCAGATCGATCTTATTCAAGACAAGCACAACCTTCTTATCCGATCCCTGCGCCTCGATCATCTCTTCAACTTGCTTACACCTGCATCCCATGGGATCACGGGCGTCCAATACTTGCAGTATAACATCGGCATGGTCTACAACCTTCTTGAACTCCTTATAGTACGCACGCTTTGAACTGTCTGTGAAATTGGCGAGCTTCTCGTCTTTGGCACTTGCTAATTCCATGTCGTATTCATCGCCGCGTTTCTCGGCTGTTTTAACCATCTGTGCTAAACTGCGCTCCTTTCGCATCTTAGCGACCTCTTTAGCTCGCTCTACTTGTTGTCTAGCCTTGTTCTTAGCACGTAGTTCCTCTTGACGTTCCTTGCCTGCCTCTATCTTACGCAGCAGGTCTTCTTTGAAAGGCCAAAGATTGGGGATTCCGGGGTCTTTTTTGGGCTTTTTAGAGGGATTATTACGCTCTTCCCTACGCTGTTTCTTTTTATGGTCTCTGCACTTTCGTTCAATCTTGAACTTCATCTTCATGGTGAGACGCTTGGTCCCTGTTTTCTTCACCATTATGTATAAGGATTTATAAGTGTTTAGTACACTAACACTCTACTATAAGTATATATAAATGTACAAACTACGCTATGAAGAACTATCACACCCCTACTATACGATTTAAATCGTATGTGTAGATTCGAGTATGAAGAATTAACCTGATGTCCGATGCCAGGTGTATATAATATATTACAATAGAAATATTTCTGATATTCGCATTTTTACCGTCAAGAAGCATGTGTACACATGGAGCACGCCGTCATCGAAATCTATTTATATCTCAATATTTATCACTAAAAATCCTCCACTTTTCTTTCCATAATATACGTTTGGTCGTCTCCACCAATAGAATGATCGCATGGTCGTTTTACTCTTGATTTCAAGTGTCAACATCTCAGTTACAGTGAGTCAGTGGCTGCAGTCATTACAACGTGACAGTTGGGACCCATTCACGTTTAACGTATATAAATTCAATCGTTTTCGCGTTACAGATACACGTTTACGCTATATTGGTGCCATCAGGATTTTAAACGAATGCAATTTTCCAATCTGAGCCGTTTATCTTTGTACGCTAAACGCTTACAATTCAGTTCATTTTGTATTATCGTTCAACGTTTACCGCACGATGAGTGCAACCCGCATTGAAGTTATTTGGGTTGACTCAACTTGACACCGGCAGCTTTTTGATTTTCATAAACAAACTCTCTCTTGCGTAATAACATCGGTGGTGCGAGCATCATCACAGCACACTGTATTGATCTAACTTTGAACACTGTATTGATCTAACTTTGAAAGTACTTAACATGACCATGTCCAAGGTTATCAACTTCGCTGCCGGCCCCGCCAAGCTACCTCCAACTGTTCTAGCCAAGGTTTGTATGTATTAACTGTCCGATAGCTCAAAGTAGATATGGTGAAACTCCATGTATATATGGAAAAGTTTGCGATACTACGTCCCCTCGGCTTGTACAGTATACCTAATGAAGTTTACTCAATGAAGTTGTATGTTTAATTATTTAAGTCAATATTGATATTGTAAGTATTACCAACACCCGTGTTTATATTTATATATATATATATATATATATATATATATATAGTTAGTTAGTTATTAGTTATTAGTTAGTAGTCGATACGTACGTACGTTTACGTTAATTAGT